AAATAATAAATATTAATTATTTTATTATTTATTAATAATAAAATAAAATCAATATTTTTTAGACAAAATTTAATGATCTTAACATAGTAATTAGTGATCATAACTATATCTTAAAAATATGCATGCTTCATAAGTTTTTAGAAAGTTCAAGATTTGAATCTTACCCTCTCCCATATGCTTACGAAAGAAAATGAGGTGTAATAATGTCATTAGGCACGTAGTATTATTTTTTTACATGATTGTGAGAAATTCATGCTTGCTAGTAATAATCATGGAGCGTAATCAACTTGTATGAATATTATAATTACCAACAAAGTCAACCAAGAGGAATAGTTAATATGTGGTATTAGGTAATTGAGATTGTATTGAGTAGAGCATGCAGAGCATTTCATGCCACTTTTTGCTAAGATAAAAATAACAAAAGGAAATATAAAAATGAAATGAGGTCAATGGGAGTGTAGGAGAAGACAAAGTACAGGAAAATCCCAATAAAAAAGACAAGCAAATGAGTTCAAAATTTTCACCAAGAAGCCATGGCTATTTGGCTTATCTTCATTTTAAGACAGAGATGGACAGCAATTCTGACAACAACATTTTTGCAAAATCACAACCAAAGCCATCTCTTCTTTTGCCCTATCTGAAAGGGAAAGAGGAAAGAGAGGGAGGGGAGAGCTAATGAGGGAGGGAAAAGAGGGGAAAGGACAACATTTTGCTTCATTTGAAAGGTTACCTGCATGAGTCATGATCTGAAACATCAGCATACTACAAGTCAGTATCACAATAACTCTCCACCCATCCCTCCTACCCTTTATTAGTTTTCTCCACTTCTTTCCTTTCATTTTCATTTTCCCTCCTCCTCCTCCTCCATAGTCATCTCTCCTCTTCCTTCTTCTTTTTACTTGATTTGACTGGACTTAAATGCCAAAGGTTCATAAACCCAGATGGGAAGTTGAAAGCCAAAGCTGATTTCTTGACTTCTGGATATGATTAGGAATGCATGAAAGAATGGGTCTTTTCAAGTTCTCAAAGGTGCAGAGAGGAACTCAGTTCCAAAAGGTGTATACTACTGCAGCAGGATGATTTATGCTTTTTCCTTTTTCCATGCCAAGGTACAATTTTTCTGAGTTCCTCTCTAAATCTGCTTCCCAGCAGTACTCCTTTCCAAAAAAGAGAGAGTAAATTTCTTTCACAGTGCATTTCAATCAGTAGGCAGTAGCTTTAGAAACAGTGTTTATGGTACTTTTTGGAGCACTGTAAATCTTGGTTTCTTTCGTGTTGGCCAAAAGAAGGAAAAAGGGTAAAACATTAGCGTACGAGTAAATCCCCTTTTTGTTGTTCAATGCTCTCGAGCTCTACTAGTCTTGTCATAGCTTATCTTTTCCCTTGATGTAATACAGACCCTACAAATTTTTGAGATGATTGAGAAAATGAAGTTAGTCTTCCTCAAATTTTGGTTGAAAAGTAGCTAGCAGTCACATTAAATCAGTTTAGTATCTTAATGTTACATCTATGAAAGCTTCAAGAATAAAACTTAGAACCAAAATCAGAAACAACTTCTCCTTTTTCCCTTTCTCAAAGTTAAAGTGTGTTAGATTTGCCTTCCTTTTCCTTTTTTATGGGAAACCAAAAAGGGTATCTTAGTGGGAAAACACTTCATTTTTGCTTCTGATGTTTTATAGTTTGCTTTATCTCTTTTTCTTCTGCTCATTTTCAGGTCTGATGTTGCTCCACTGAAGAGATTGTGAAGTAACAGATAGTCACATCCTAACTCTTATTGTCAGTGTGTTCACTCAATACAATGGAGAAGAGGTTGCCAAAAAGCCCGCTGCCCTCACCTAGAAGTCCTGCCCTCTATGAAAGTTACAAGTCCGGATGTGCCTGGAGTCTAATCCATTTCTTTGATTTTCGCCAAAGTCATTCTAGTGGAAAGCTGATTTCAGATAAGAAGCATGTGAAGAAGAAACAAATCATAGGTAAGAAATGCTCTTCTCTCCCTTCTTCTTCATTTTTTTTTTTTTCACTCTTAAGATCTAATAAATTTTGGGTTAAGAAGCATATAATGATGTTTTAATTACACTGGTGTTATCTGCAGATTATGAGAACAAAAGGAATAGGCTTACTTTGCTCAATAATGCTGAGAAGCCCCAAGAATCAGTTGTAAGTTCACTGACCTAAATTCATATGCAAATTTTTAATAATATTGTACATGCATCAAATAAATACTCATCTTGCCATTTTATAGATTTAAAAAGGAAAAAGTGCGGATATATTTTGAACTGCAAATTTTAATGTATAGGGTGGAGTTGATCACAAGAATGTGGTGGTTAATCCTAGGAGGTCAGTCCTAAAGAAAATTGTGGAAGAAGAGATGTCCATAGAGCATCAGAGAAAGAACATTGCCACTGCTAAAGTGCAAGATGTACTGTCTGAATCTGAGCTTGTTGGTGATTCACCAAAGAAATATCAGAACTCAAGCAAAAATTTCAAGAAATCTCAATCCATGCCCGTTGATGGTTGTAATGATGCAGCCAGTAAGGGAAACAGGCAATCATCTAATCAGAATGTGGCAGAAAATTCTTTGAATGGCTTGATTCCGGCACAAGCAACAGAAGCGAAGGAACATCCTAAGAATGGAAAGAATCACAGTCGTAGGAAGAACATTGGTGGCATGAAAAATGACCAACTTACTGAGATTAGCCTTCAGGTTCATATGGATGAAGCAGTGGAAGAATTTATAAATAAGAAGTTAATTGATGGTACAAAGCTCAGCAGAGGTGGGGCAAGCAACCAGTCAAAGAATTTCATAGAAGCATTAGAGATTTTAAATTCCAACAAGGAATTATTCATAAAACTCTTGCAAGACCCAAATTCCCTGTTGGTGAAACATATCCAAGAATTAAGAGACTCTCAGTCAGGTAAACAGCAGACTCAGTCTTTCTCTGATGATAAATTGTCAGAACATCAGGATAAGTGCCTTCACAAGGCAAGCAAGGACTCTCAATCTTCAGATACAATAGTAGTTTTGAAGCCTAACGCAACTAGCTTGCAAAATGTTGCAAACAGCAGCAATCATTGCTCCTCACAGCATTCTCATTACAGTTCAAGGAATAAAGGGGAAAGTGATCAGCCAGCATTCTTTTCCTTTGAACACATGAAGAGGAAGTTGAGACATGCTATGAAGGTAAGCAGAAAAGAGCAGAACAAGACATCACTTGAAGGCGTGCTCCAGAAATATTTATCTGACTTCCAAGACTCAGAAGAAGGTGCTAAAGAAATCAGTAGGCACAACATTAGAAATCCTCCTAAAACCTATCTTGATATTGGAGGAATGTCCAGGTCTTCTGGTGATGTAAAGGGAGGAGATAAAGTAGGTCAAGTAAGAAATGTCGAATCAGGCAATGGTCGAAATGCAGTTTCAACCAGTGGCAGTGATCATAAAAGCTCAAGCTCAGTTTCCAGGCATTCCAAAGGAAATGAATCTAACATAAATTTTCCACCTAGGAAACATCTCTTTGAGATGTTAAATGGAAGAAATGATGCCTTTTTCAGAAAAGAGACACCGAAAACTGTGGGTAGGATAAGCTCTTTTCCAGAATATGACTTTTTGCCTGCACTTTCTCCTGGAAAGGAATGGGGATATGACTATTATTCTGCACATATGAGATTTCTGCCATACTGCAATTATCCTAATTTTAATGGGGACAGGTGGAGGGTTCATAGAGAAAAGAACAGATACTCAGGTTCTCTCAGGAAGAAAGCAGAGGCTCCACCTCAGGCTAATAGCAAAAAACCTGATGATCAACTGCAAATGGTTGATGCAAAGCCAAGCATTTACAGCAATACATCTTCTGTTGCTGATGTTGTTGAAAGCATCTACTTACATGGTGATGATTGGAGCCACAGAGGTAATTTTGTTCATTGCTGAAAGGCAGATGGATTTTTTTTTTTTTTTTCCTTTTTCTGGCAAAAAAATGAAATTTCAATCTACATTTTTCTTATGTAGTTTATCTTACATAAACAGCTAAGCAAACGTCTTCAAGTTCAGGGAAAGTTTTGGAAAGATACTCTACTGTAGACCAAGGAGAAAGTAGCATTGTGGAAGTGCCTTTTGAGCCAGATGTGGTAATTTTCTTTGTTCTCCTGTGTGTCAATATGTTTTCTTGGGTTGTTTCTTGTTCTGTTTCTGGCCATGTTGCTAGCATATGTAATAAAATGCATTCTATCTGGTCACTAACAACATCAAATTTCAGGATACATGTCCAGAGAGTCAAACATTGTCTTCTTCAATAAATGGTCATTCATCATTTCCTTTAATTATGCAAAGAGCAAAGCAATGTGATGGCATGACAGATGAAGCAGAACAGCCAAGTCATGTACCTGTTCATGAGCCGTTTGTTGTAGAGGATATCACTAGCCCACTGAGCACAGTATGTCAACCAGGTAAGCCTATTATATGCACTTATTTACTTTATATTTCTATTTTAGTTCTACAAACTCGGTTGGTAATCATCTTGAAAAAAATCAAATAACTGTATCCTTTTGCTGCTGCAGGAACTCCTTTGGATCTGAAGAGTACTTTCCAAGATGAGCATGGATCCTTGTCTGAGTCAATAAAAGCAGTTTTGCAAGTTTCATGTCCTGATTGGGAAAAGCTCTCGATGAAATATCACTTGTCAGACCAAATTATTGATCCATCTTTGTTTGATAATATGGAAGCATGGCCTGACAAATCCTTTGGTGATCCTAGGCTGATTATCAGCTATATAGACGAAGTCCTTTCAGAGGTTCATCAATGTTATTCTGAATGCTCCCCTTGGATTTTGGTTCTCAAGCCAAGACCTCAACCTGTCCTATTATCCAGAAACATGGTTCATGAAGTGTTGAAACATGTTGATTGGCAGCTTCTCTCCCAATTGCCTCAAGAGACATTACAGCAACTTGTTGAAAAGGACTTGGCAAAATCTGGAACATGGATGGATTCTGGAATAGATGCTGAAGATGTTGTCACTGAGATGGTAGATGACTTCCTTGAAGACTTGATAGTGGAAACTGCAATTGGTTTGCAAACCTTTTTTTTGGCCAACTTGAAGTAGTCTATTCGGTCTCATTTGTTTCTTCAAGCAACTTAGGAAAGTCAGTCATGACCAAGCGACACAACCAAGGGTTGCATATTCCTGGTGGATTCTGATCAGCCTTGCAATGGATATTCAATCACCTCATGTCTTTGTTCTGCTTACCTGCCTGAGCATGGCTCAGGCCTCATCTGGGCACTGATTCAGCGCATATTACAAGCTCTGGTTATACCATATAGATCACAGAAAATCCAACAGCTTTCTTCAACAGGTTTTATGCCATGGTTGCATTTTCCTGCTCTATCCTATAGAAAAGTGATTCCTAAATGAATGATCATAAATCATACATATACCAATATTGGCTTACCTTGTAACTTTTAAGTACTTATCTAGTGCCTTTAATCTTGGTGTTGTTCATGTAAACTTATGCATGCCATTCACTCTTTTTGTTATCAGCCTCATCCAGTATTGATATTTGAATTCAATATTAAGATGGAACAAATGTTGCCAGTGGCCGGTCCGGCAATGCAAACAGCCATATCTGGAAGAGGAAGAAGGCTACTAGAAATAAATTGTTCTGTTTGGTTAATGATGCCCGTGTTTCTTGCTAGAATTCACAGTGCTGTTTTTTTTCTCTGTATACCTGCATTAATATTGGTCCAAATGGGATTATCTACACTTAATTAGTAAATTAATGAAAATCATTCTAAAAATTAAGAAGGCAAAAGGGTTATCAAGGACTTGACTTTTTTTCCTTTTTTTTTCCCAGTTAGAAAGAGCTGAAGTTGTCATAGGTAATACAGCTCAGCTCTATCCTTACTTGGAAAAGACATAAATTTATGTTCTTTATTAAGAATTTTAAACAAATTTATGCCCTCATACATCAATTTTACCAAGAGAAAATCGAACAATATTTTCCGGGGTTCCTGATTTTCTTCCTCCGATATGCTGTAGCCTGTAGGAAGGCCCACTTCCCGCCAAACCTCCATAAAAACCCTAATATTCCTTCCTCCTTAAACCCTTCATCGTTTCTTATCCCATATCGCAGCCGCCATCGGAAATTCTAAGCAACCTGCCACCTCCACCGGAAAGACAGCGACGATGGACCCAAAAGCTGTAAAATCTGACCTTGTCCTGATCCTGGATTATGGGTCCCAATATACCCATCTCATCACCCGCCGAATTCGTTCCCTCTCAGTCTTCTCTCTCTGCATCTCCGGCACCTCTCCGCTCTCCACAATCACCAGCCTTAACCCAAAAGTTGTTATCCTCTCCGGAGGGCCACACTCCGTCCATTCTCTGGATTCCCCTTCATTTCCTTCTGGCTTTATCGAATGGGTCTGCTCCAACGGAGTCTTCGTGCTGGGCATCTGCTACGGGCTGCAGCTGCTTGTGCAGAGACTTGGGGGTGAAGTTAGAGTTGGGGAGAAGCAGGAATACGGGAGGATGGAGATTGAGGTGGGGAAAAATTCTGGTATTTTTGGAGGTAAGATGGTGGGGGATAGGCAGATTGTTTGGATGAGCCACGGAGATGAGGCAGCTCAGTTGCCCAAGGGGTTTGAAGTGGTGGCCAGGAGCCAGCAGGGATCTGTTGCTGCAGTAGAGGATAGGGAGAGGAGGTTTTATGGGCTGCAATATCACCCGGAGGTATTCTGGCTTCTGTGTTTTCGGGCTCTTTCTTCTTCTTCTTCTTCTTCTTCTTCTTTTTTTGGCCATGTATTTTTGGGGTCCTTGGTGTCAGTAAAGTGTTAGATTGCTTTTTTGATTCATCTGTGAAATGGAGTCTTGATCATGTGTGTGTTTTAATGGTGTGGCAACTGTTATAATTTGCATTTTTGTTTCGGTTTTGAAGTCTTTTCTTTGTTATCAAATTGCTCTGTATGTTATATCGATTGTGGTTAATATTTGTTTTTATCCAATCATGGCAGAATGGAATTCTTTCCATTTTTGTCATTGGAACTAATGCTACACTCATTATTTTATATATAATTGTAATTGCTTTCAAGGAAGAGGGATAATTGTATTCCTTATTATTATTATTATTATTTGCTTATTGGTCTAGCTTGCTTGTGTAGTGTTTTCTCATTTTTTCTTGGCATGCACTAACAAGTATGATTGTGTTGTGATTTGTAGGTGACTCATTCACCAGAAGGGATGGAGACCTTGAGATATTTCCTGTCTAATATTTGTGGAGTTAATCCTGGTTGGAAGATGGAAGACATATTGGATGAAGAAATTAAAGTGATTAAAGGCACAGTTGGTACGGATGATCATGTCATCTGTGCATTATCAGGGGGTGTGGATTCCACAGTTGCTGCAACTCTTGTTCACAAGGCAATTGGAGATAGGCTTCACTGTGTTTTTGTTGACAATGGTTTGCTAAGGTAAGAGGGAAAACTTGTGTATTTATCTTTTAAACTTAAAATTAGGATTTCTTGCTTCCTCCATTTCTGTAAGGCTTGGTATATGTCTCAAAAAGAAGAATATTTGGCAACTTTTTGGTTGGCAATTCCTGCAATTCATCTGTTTTTTCCCTTCTGAATTATGAGTTATTGATTCATTTTATGTAGGTATAAGGAGAGAGAACGTGTAATGGAAACATTTGAAAGGGATCTACATCTACCTGTTACTTGTGTTGATGCTAGAGATCAATTTCTTAGTAAGCTAAAAGGTGTTGTAGACCCTGAGATGAAAAGGAAGATAATTGGGAAGGAGTTCATTGCCATTTTTGATGCTTTTGCCCAAGATTTGGGCAATAAACTAGGAAAGAAACCTGCATACCTTGTCCAAGGAACTCTGTATCCAGATGTGATTGAATCCTGTCCACCACCAGGAACTGGAAGAAATCATTCTCACACAATTAAGAGCCACCATAATGTTGGAGGGCTTCCCAAAGACATGAAATTGAAGCTCATTGAACCACTTAAACTTCTCTTCAAGGATGAGGTTTTAATTGGGTTCTCCCACCATATTTTATGTCATTACATACATGGTTTTTCCTTTTCTAGTTAGTCCTTTTATTTTATTTTCTTGTTTTTAAAGGTTCGCAAACTTGGGAAGATCTTGAATGTTCCTGAGCCATTTTTGAAGCGTCATCCATTTCCAGGACCTGGACTTGCAGTAAGGGTCTTGGGTGATGTAACTGAAGGCAATGCCTTGGATATCCTACGGCAGGTATAACATTTTTATACACAGAGTGCAGCCTTGGGTATCATTTCACCCTTTTAGTGTATTTATTCCTTCCATTTGCCCCAGGTTGATGAGATTTTCATCCAGTCAATCAAGGATGCTGGTTTATACGATTCAATTTGGCAAGCTTTTGCTGTATTTTTGCCAGTAAAATCAGTTGGAGTTCAAGGTGATCAAAGAACACATTCTCATGTTGTTGCTCTTCGAGCTGTCACAAGCCAAGATGGAATGACAGCAGATTGGTGAGCCTTCTTTAATACTGCATTGTTCTCATATCCAGATTTCTTTTGATCCTTGAGTGAAATATAGTTTCCAATTTGTGGTGCTACATGTTCATATTTTGTAAATGCTGTTTTTCCTTTGACCACCATTGAACCCTCCCTCAAAATTTATGCAATTGTCTTATCCTTGTTTCTCTTGTCTTGGTGCATATTAGGCCTTTTTCTGTCTATCTTTGTGACCAACTATCTTTCCTATATTTTGAAATTCTTCTTTCTTTTGTGTGTCTTATGGGACTCTGGAATTTCAGGTACAATTTTGAACACAAATTTCTTGATGATGTGGCCCGAAAAATTTGCAATAGCGTTCGCGGTGTAAATCGTGTTGTTCAAGACATAACATCAAAACCTCCATCAACAATTGAGTGGGAGTGATGCCATGCTAGAGATGGTAAAACCCCTGTGGTTCTTTGGAGTGAAGGCAATGTATTCATCAACAATGTGTTTTCTCTGCTTCAAATGCAGTGAGGTTGGCAAGAAGGAAAATGGGTCTAGCAGGGGTTCATGAACGTGGACCTTAAGGATTCTGCAGTCATTTTTATATTACCTATTTCTTACAGAGGTAATATTTTTTGTGGGATGATATTGTAAACATTTTAGTTGAAAGCTTGATGATTATAATTTATTATCCTTAATCTGACAGTGTTTATTATTTACAATATGCTCTAGTTTTAGAACCAATATGAAGAAAACATGTGAATGCATGTCTAGCAGGCTTGCTAGCTTTTCTGTTTCAGGTTGAAGACTGTATGAGGAGTGAATTGTTATGCTTGCATATTTGACAATAATACAATAATTCATATTTAATTGTGTTTCTTCTCCTTGCTTTGCATACAAAAGAATTAATCCTAGCATGTTTCTTGCCTGTCACCAACAAATGCATACACAGGGCTTGTGTTTATGTTTCCATTCCTTTTTTATTCTTTATTTGTTTGATTTGCATATGCACATTCAAGTGCTTAGTTCTGAATGTTCTCTTTGTAAACCTTCTAGACCAATGTTGATAATTATGCATTATGCCTCTGTGCTCTGCTGAAATGATCTCTTGGTTTGGATTCAACGGATATAAACATTGTGCTGTGACTGCTACTGTATTATTTGCAACTGCACTATCACTAGTGGATGATAGGAGCAAAGATGGCAATTTTGATCTGTGGGCTCTACCATAAGCTATTATGCTTTAGTTTAATGTAAGTCTTGTCTGCCAAAGGTGTTGCTATCTCTATACCTTACCAATCACAGCAAGTATCGTTTATGCATTTCCTTTTCTTCTAGTGGCGCATTTTTATTGTAATGATCATTTATGATTATCATGTTCTTTCCCCTATATGTAGCTAGCTACTCTACCCCTACCGCACAGGCCAACTATAGAAACCAGTGTGTTTTCCTTCCTGTATAATAATGTTTGAATCACAAAATTCCATACTTCCAATATTAGATTTAAAACAGCCAGCCGATCCCTCTTTTCTCTCTTCCCTCTCTCAAGCATGTCAAGAATTAGGCTTCTTTTATGTTACCAATCACGGCATCCCTAGAAGTTTATTCAGCAAAGCCCGTTCCCTTTCACATGAAATATTTAGCCTTCCTTCCAAAACCAAACTCAAGCTTGGCCCATCATCATCCTTGAAAACTTACACTCCTCCATTCATAGCTTCTCCTTACTTTGAAAGCCTAAGAGTAACTGGACCAGATTTCTTTGCCTCTGCAAGGGCATCTACTGAAGAACTCTTTGGTCAGGAGAAACCTGAATATAGGTATTAATTCTATTTGATATTTTAATCTGTGCTTAGGACAACTCTTCTTCAGAATTCATATTCATTTCTCTTTTGTATTTCATCTTTCATTTCCCAGTGAGATATTGCAAGAATATGGAAACTATATGATAGACTTGTCAAGGAGAATAACAGAGATTGTGTTGAAGTGTTTGGGTGATGATTATGAAAGGAAATTTATTGAGTCTGAATTTGGCAAGTGTCATGGATATCTGAGGATTGTAAATTACACACCTCCAGAGAATGTGGATGATGAAAGTGGGGAGGTTGAAGGACTTGGAATGCACACTGATATGAGTTGCATAACAATAGTCTATCAGGATGAAATTGGTGGGCTACAAATGAGATCCAAGGGAGGTGAATGGATGGACATACACCCATGTGAGAATTCCCTGGTAGTTAACATTGGGGATCTAATGCAGGCTTGGAGCAATGGGAGGTTCAGATCATCAGAACACCGTGTTGTTTTGAAGCCATTCATAAACCGATTCTCCCTGGCATTCTTCTGGTGTTTCGAGGATGAGAAGGTAATCTTTGCCCCAGATGAAGTTGTGGGAGTTGCAAACTCAAGGGTGTACAGGCCATTTGTTTGCTTGGATTACCTGAAGTTTAGAGAGAACAATGAAGTAGGTAAATTTGAGAAAATAGGATACACTGTAAAAGATTTTGCTGGCTTACAACTAGAACTGTAGCTGCTATGATTAGTCATAGAACTTAAATATCACCTGCTTTTTTCTTTTTTAATGTACTTCAAACATAGGATTCTTTAGAAATGTGGGGTTTGTGAATACTTGTATTGATTGAGCTTTTGACATTGGTTTGTATTGAGCCTGATGTGAAAGGCAAAGCAGATTGTTGTGCTGATTTGTTTTTTTTTTTTTTTTGGTTTCGTTGATTGATGATGATGAAGAATT